AGAAGCTGGCCCTTTGCATGGCCAACAAAAGAAAACAACAACTATAAAAATACACTCAAAGCATTGAGCTCCAAAGCAGGTTCAGTTTGGCTTTGGATCTCTCTCACACAAATTACCAGCGGTGTTTCAGATGGGTGCTAAACTAAGGAGAAATATTGGGAATGGGAATGTCCCCATGGTTTCTTTACAGAGGTAAACCAGCATACAGGCAAGAATTGAGTTCCACTGCCTTCATTATGGAAACTGCATCTGTAGCAACTTTGCAACCAGGCAGTATCTGCCCAGGAAAGCTGTCTCCTTCAGAAAGCTTGCAGCATTGATCTGAAAGATGTTATTATGGTGTCTCCCACCCATGTCCACAGGATGCTCTCACTCATTCAGGTGCTCTCTCTGTTTTCCATGCACTGTAGAAAATGCTGATGAAGATCCAGGGAGGGTCCAATACCAAAGTGAACCCCATTAAGACCGGAGCTGCCTTCCTGTGTGTTTCATTATTAATACTGAGCTCAATTACTCTGATTTCTTCTGTTGATGAATTAGCAGCACCAGAACCAAGTCCCTGGCTGATATCCATTTGTCTTTGCTTATAAGTGTTAATGTGATCCTGTTACTTTAAAATCAAACTCCTGCTTCAGTCACTTTACGTCTTTGCAACAATAACTGTCTTTTCACTAATTGGTTCTGTGTAAATGAAACAAGCTGAAAAACACTGTGGCACCAATAAATATTAATAAGTTATTGTTTGTTTTCTTTACCTTGCTTATGAATTCATACAAAGACAGTGCTAAGACATTAACTCCAGTCTATTAATTGCCACCTGATAATTGCCACCTGATACTTTTCTCCTGGATAATTAGGTACCCATTAGTTCTAATCAAGTAGTTACTTAATTATTGCAGTAATTAGTCTAATGGACTAGCAAATTGAAGCTTTATCACTTTTGGATACTTAATGTTCCTGACAGAGTACTTCACAAGTGTCAGGGTTCCTGATTCAGCAACCTGCCATCCACAAACCCCCTGTTCCCACCGCCACCCCATCCATGCTGATCCCCAGCCACTTCCCAAAGCCACTCATGTCTGAAGCCAGAGGCAATATACATTGGAGTCCTTCTTCCTTCTCGTTTCCCTTCCCACTCCATCTATGCCTCCCCTCCTGTGCTCTTACTGCTCATTCCACGCCAAAAGAACTTGGTTGGGAAATTAAATAACGTCTTGGCATGAAGATCACATGCATTAGGCTGTATGGCAGCACGATTCAAGGGAGGGAGCTAATGTTGGCAGGTGTGGGAAGAAAAAAGCAACTGTGAGGGGAGAAATAATAAAGTGCATTCATGAATACTCAGATACAGCCAGGCTTGGGGAGAAGTAGGGAGAGGAGCAAAACCAACTGGTGGTAAATGAAGGCATGGCTCCAAGGTCTGAAGCTGGTAATAGGTCTCTCTTTCATCTTTGAATCAGAGACGCAAATCTAACAGATTTTTACAGGAATAAAAATAAAATGGAAACTATTTTCTGCCCATGGACTCTGTAGCGCAGAGTGGTGGTAAAGTGATCACTAGCATTTCTCTGATCCATGTTTTTATGATTAACTTCATACTTAAACCTGAAGGGCTGTCAATCCTACATGTAATACTTCCACGACATTCATTTCAGAAAGGGCATGTAAAATGCCATCCTCACACCTCTGTCCATGTACCCGTCCATATGTTGTCTTTGTGGATCGTGCTTGCTTTTGGATCTCGGTTTGAGACAGGCATAGACATTTAGGAGCAGCACAGCATTAAATGTGGATTTCTGTCTCCCATTGATCATCTGATCCAGATTCTCTCAAGACTTTTCATGTCAGATTTGTATCAGAATTGATCATCAAGCCCCTTGGCAAGTGTCATCTGCCCCAGGCGCTGCAATGTGTATCGTATAAAAGCTCACTGTACTGGGAAGGGGAGAAAAGGGGGGGAAAACAGAATTGATCCTGCACAGAAATAAAGAGTTTAACTCCATTCAATAACACTTGACAACTTGCTAATGGTTAAACTACTTAACATATGTGGTAGGATTATGAATTCTGAAATAGATGTATTTATCTTTCTTGATCAGATATCTCATATTTCCATTACTGCTAGGTCTGTAGCACAGTCTAGGGTTTTGTACAGGGGAGGGCTTCAGACCGTGCCTTGACTGAGTCCTGATGGAGGGACAGGGTTTCCAACCAGCCTTGGCTGGCTTCTTAAGGATTGGAAGGAACAGTGAGAAGTAAAGGTTATTACTCCTCTGGGTTTTATAGAAGTATTTGAGTGGAAGGACCCTTAAAGGTCATTTAGTCAAATTTCCCCGCTCTGGACAGGGACGACTAGAGCTCAATCAGGTTGCTCAGAGCCCAGTCCAGCCTAGCCTTGAATATCTGCAAGGATGGGGCACAGAACAAGGCAAAGTTTTACGTTGGATCAGAGCTCTATCATGCTTCAAAACTGCTCTAATCTCAGTTATCACACAGAGTCCCCTAGTCAGCCATATAAGGCATATTCATAAACCAAAATATACCCCCATACCCCAGTATTCTCACAAGCATCAGAATTTTATTTACCTAGAATTTTCCTCAGCATGTTCACATTACCAGAACTGAAAAACCAACAGTTTTCAGGGGAAACAAATAAATTCTCCCAATTCTTCTTACTGTATGAAAAATAGAGTCCCGTTCCAGTTACATTATACTCTTACCCAAAACACAACAGACTGTGACAAAGAGGTCACCAGCTCGTGAGTTTTCTGCCATAGCCCCACGTGCATCCATCACAATTGGCTGCATATGCTCATTTACTCTGAAGTTACTCTTTAGGTAACAGTCAATAAAACCTTATGCCACTATTGAAAAATCACACCACAGAACTGCTTAAACACCTGCGTGAGGCCACTGAGCAATAACAATCCCATGCACTCAAAGCAAAATTAGGTAAAGCATACTTGTCCCATTAAGAAAACATATTGCTTGAAATTACAGTGCCTCAGGATGCTCAGATTTTGCTCCATAGGATACAGCTACCATCCTACCCAACACAGGACCTGTATTGACATGAGTTCAAGTGGCTCAAACTGCTGTCTCTGTTGAAGGCTCCCGGCAGCAGAAATTTACCTACTGAGTGTCTCATCTGACTTCCCAGCATTGCTCTGACTTCTCTGTCCTGCTAAGAGTAAATTTGGTCCAAATCTGGACCAAAAAAGGGTGTGATGGCAGAAGAGCAGCAGGCTGGGGGGTCCACCCAGGGGTCTCCCTCATGCTGTGCCCCTGCTGGGGCTGAACAGAGACCATCTGTCTCCAGCGCTATCGATCCAACACAAGCACTAAATTCATTTTAAGGATGCTGAGAGAGCAAGAAAACTATATGTGACAGATGTTAGTCACGTTGCTTAATGTACTACTCGAAGGTGTTCAGATGCTCTGGTGATGAGGGTGCTAATAAAACCAATGCAGAATAGAATGAAACAGAGTAAGGGAGGATTTTTAGATTTATAAAGCTAAAAAGGGTTTTTAGCTTGAGGGGGGATTAAATGTCATACTGTCCACATCATCAATTTTCCCTCTGGATTTGACTTTGAATCACTTGTGCAGTTCTTCAGCAGTGACACGGCAACAGGCAAATTAGAAGACAAACTGAGAATACCTTTTATGTTGGAAATACCAGGAGAAACAGTCCAATGATTATTGAGAGAGGGAGATGCAGAACTCATTAAGGCAAGATGACTTGGAAAGATAATGAAGGTGTTGCATGCAAAGGAAAAGTAGGGGAAAAAAGAAGCATAAAGAAGCAAATTCCTTAGCACTCCTTCCTTAGTTCTCTCTATGCGCTTTCTAGCACTTCATTTCACAAGCTCAGTAGGCAATCAATTTTAGCTTGTATCAATTTGGCAGTTTAAGATCTCCATAATAGTTTGGACCACTCCTGTTCAATGGGTTGCACAGCTTTTGGGAAAGCCTGAGTGCTGTTCTGGGGAGGGGTATGAGGACAAAGGGAAGGAAGAATCGGGGAGGCAAGATGCTTCCAATTTGTCTGTCCAAATCTAAGGCCTTTTTATGGAGTGTGGCTTATTATTAGTAAGGTCTCAGTCTTCGTCACTTTGAGGAGTTTCTTGAGCACTGCTTTCATGCTTCACCATTTTCTTGCTTTTGTGCACATGGAACAGGAGGACACAGGAGACAAGAGAGACCAAAGATAATTGTTCAGCTTTACGGCGCTGAATAAAGAAGGGTTGCTTATCTCCACAGGAAAGTTGTAGCAAAGTATCTACAGGGCAACATACAGAGCACCCCATGAGCACTTCTGGTAAGCACTAAGTGCAAGACACCTTGCAGAAAGGCAATAGAAATTAGCCTTAAGAGAGATGCCCAGAAGTGGGGGGTACTGATTCACGGGCAGTCTGGTTCATGCTTCCATTCCCTGACTCAAAACAGCTGCAATGTGATGACGATAAGAGCTTGGTGCCCAATAAGTTCAGAAGAGCCCTAATGACCTCAGGGTTAAAACTGAGAAGAAAGGAAGGAAGATCAATCATTCTGAAGTCTGGACATAAGGATGGCTGAAGTCCTGGACTGAGGGATCTTTGCTTTTTGTGTAATTTTGGTTGTTTTTTTTTTTGCAGGTTCTTCTCAGCTGCCTGTCAGACTGGGCCATGATGAAACTCAACATCTTGCAGAGACATAAAATGGAAAATAGGCAACTCATCAGAAAAGTAGCAGCTGTTTTACACCATCACAAAACAAAATCATCATACACTAAAAACTAGATTTAGCAGTTTAAAAGAGCCGCTAACACAAAATTAGCTGGAGACAACAGCGTGATTTTGTAACTGACAGTGCTTCATTCAAACGCCCTAATTCATGTAAAAACAACTTAGCAAACATTAAACGCCTGATGCTTTTGGAGAGGAGAAGAGCATTCAGACTTTCAATGGCTGCTTAGGAAGAATGCATAGATTTATTACATATTTCTTTTTTCTTTTACAAATTTTAAATAAGCATCATATCAAAAGTACCACCTCTTGAATACCAGTCCTCCCGACAGAGGGAGAGACCATCCTTTATTGGTGAGCTATTGTATTTACTGGGGGCTGACACCTGTATAAAGGTTGTACGAAGCTTCTGTGATGAATGAGGTGAAATAAGAAGGCCGTGAGCACTTTGGATCATCAAATACTTCAATAACTGGATATGGCTTTCATACAACCATAAGTTCATACACATGGAGAGGATATAAAGAAGCAGCTGCCTTCTGAATGAGCTTTCTGTTGCCTTCTCATACGTGTACACAATCTGTTCTAAATGCCACACAATCTTTCCTTTGTCCCAGAGGTATTTCTCATTGAGGATGAAAATTTCCCTGTGCTATTGCCACGTCCTGCCCATAGGTAACACAGCTTCTGAAGGTTAGAAACTTGCCTGGCAAGAAATGTATCTAAGCCTATTGCTACCAGAGCGTATGTGGCTTGGCCAGAGATCTGTCATCTAGCAGCCATGAAGGGATGAATTTTGATTGTTTGGAACTAGATTTAAGTTGTCCATATGACTACCAAGAGAAGAACTGGGTTTATTTTTTCTTTACTCCCAAATCAATCTAACGATAGCATCTAGTACATTTTCCCTGCCTGTGGAACGGGCTCAACTCCATTGTCCTTAACAGTCTCTGTGGGTTTTGTAAAGTTAATAGCTTAGAAATAGCTTGGAAGATTAATAATAATACATACGTGTCAAGAAGGGAATATTACCACTGACAGTAATAGCAGTTATGCTTGTGTAGATGAAATCCACATGCTTTTCAAGAGAGGCAGGTCTCTGACAGCTCCTTTCTGACCTGAGTTACTGGGAGCACATGCATCATTCAATGAAACAGTGCTGTCCTAGCTGAGGTGCTCCCATGTCTCTGCAGTGGTAAACCCCTTTGCACTCCTTGTCTTGGGTGATTCTCCCATCAAGTCTCATCCAACTGCTGCCTGACAAAGCGGTCCTGGTCTGGATACAGAATGAGGGAGGGATAAATATTAAGCTGAGGCCTGGCTATTTGTTCTGTGCAGACAAGTTGTGGCCCTGAAGAAGTCTTTTACCTTCCAATAAATTGAAGGGGTGGGGGTGTAAAATGTTCCCCATCCTTCAAGGTTATTTTTATTTAGATCCCACTCTTCAAAAGACTATATATATGGATGCAAGAGTCAAGGTGCAATCCAAAGTCTGAGAAGTTATAGACTCCTTGAGACAGTCTCTGATGGATCTGAATTTTTCAGCTAAAGAACATCCATGCTCTTGACCCGAGACCTAGATTTCACATTTCAGGAATTAAATGAGCATCATTTTCTAAAAGACATTAGACCAAGGCTGGGCTACACAAAAGATAGCTTCAGAATTTAGATGAAGACTCTGACATGACAAGGAGACTTAAAACCTGACATATTTTTCTTCTGTTGGAAAGCCATACTTGGTTTGTTATACCACACTGTGTCTTGTTATGCGCAAGAGGCAAAGGAAAAGTGGAAGTTGTTTTGGACTGAGCATCTCAGAAGGCAGAAGGCTCAGTGACCTAGATGATCTGGCCTTGTCTTAAATTACTCTCTTCCCAATTTATCTTTAGACTGTGCCAAAAACCTGCCAAAGTATAATGGAAATGTTTGTGACCCCTGCCAAACAGTGAAGCCTCTCGCTCTGAGATATTTCAAATGTCTTGATTAGTCTGAAGGAGCTGGGCCTGAAAATAAGGGAGTGTGAAAGGAAAGGAAAAGTATTTCCTACCTGCAGCTGCAAAGCTGGGACTCATGTCCAAGCGTTTGTCTTGCTCCTTCCATACAGACAGACTGACTTTCTCAGGAGAGAGTTCAACCTGCTTAAAATTAAAAAAAAAAAAAAAAAGTTAAAAAGTTAAAATTAAAGTTAAAATTAAAATCAAAGAAAAATCATGATGGGGCAAGGAGACAAGAGCCTCCTCCCACAAAAGGGCTGTATTCAGCTACAAGACAGTGGACCCCTCACCTGCTGCAGCCCTGAGGGGATGAACAGAGGACCTTGCAGCAAGCAAGGAGCAGAGCCTATGAAGAGACTGACTGCTCGTTTCACATCAGATGGATGGCTCTAAATGACCTGGAAAGATGTTCCCAGAGCTCTGAGCCACAGCATTAAGAGCCAAGACACCACTAGCACTTCTGAAGTTGTTATTAGTGACTGAAGTAGCACTTGTCAACTGCGACTACAGTTTCAAGCAATAGTTTAACAGCATCAACTTGAAGTAAGGTTATATCTCTGTGTGCCTGGTGTGCTGCTGACACTTAAAGGAAATAATTGGTAGACTTGGAGCAAGGGCAGACGCCAGAGGTAGAACAGTAGTAGAGGTTGGATACTTAAAGCATAATGCAACAATTCTGCATGAAACAAGAGCCGAGAATCCATTGTATGCCCTGGCATAAAAGGCACAAGGAAGCTGTAACCCAGCCTGCAGAAAGTGCTCCGCTCTGCAGTCAGCAGTTGTGCTGCTCTGATGTATAAAGGCTCATCTACAGCTGCAGTCTGCAGCCTTGTCCCAATGAGAGGACAAAAACATGTTGCCCCTTGCAGTTCTTGGCTGGCTTTTTTGGAAAGCACGTGTAATGCAATCTCCAGCTGATTTCTGGCTTCAGGACAGCAAAGCCAAGAGAAAATATACGGGTATATGTGCTGTGGAATAGAAGACAGGAAATCGTCTGGAATGAAGCGCTCAGTCTCATTTTACCTGTAGCTTGGCTGTGGGATGCTAAAATAGAGGAATTAGCATGCAAATCCAGCAGTCCCTTGGCTGTCATCACCTTCCAATTAGCTGCATTTGATTTCGGTGGGCGCTGATGGATTGTGTCAGCAGGTGAGGCAGTATGAGGAGAGGTGCTCTGGCTGCCACAGGCAGTAGAGGGCTGTGTGTGTGCCTGCTTTTCCCCTGTGCTGCCTGCTGGAATGATGCTGGCTGCCAAAAGAGAAGCACCAGAGGAACTGATTCTGATTTGAGCATGGCCAGCAGGGTTTCAGCAGACCATGCTATAGCTGTACAATGTATGTGAATTAGGAGGATGTCTTCAAAGCGAAGAGTAGCTTGTGTTTGGTGAAACAATTTGACGAAGCAGAAGAACTGCCATGAAAAAAAGGCTGCCAGGGGAACGTAGCCAAGACAGATGTGACTTGGTCACACCAATAAGTTAGGGAAATTGCATTTACAGAGCAATTTTGAAACACAGGCATATGATCCAATTTGTCCAGAAAACGGGATGTTTCCATGAATAAAAGCAAGCAATCCCAATCCTCTGCAAGATTTTTAGTTTTGTGGAGGGCCAGAAAATTCAGCATCTTTTCTATTTGTTCATTATGAATAAAACTCTGAAAGAAATAGACACAGTTTTGGATAAAAGAAAGAAAGCTCAGAACAGATTTGTGAGTCATTGTCATAGCAATTATATTTGAGTTTGTACGCATAAACAGGATTGCCAAGAGAAAAGTATGGGAGCAGAAGAGGCAAAGGATTAGCATCTGCAAAGTCAACACAAAATTGGAGGGTGGGAATGGAGGTGAAGGGCTTCCTTCAGTCAACAAGAGCAGCATCAGTGAAGGACTGAGTCACAGATGTGCAGAATTCACAGAATAAGCAATGATGTCAAAAGTGGCTGATGGGTCAAGAGCTTGGGGCTGGCACTCTGCTCTTAGATTTTGCCCAAGAAGAAACAGGGGAAGGTTTTTTTGAGAGTTATTTCAGTGAGAGGTATGGTTGGGTACAGAGGACAAAGGAGGTGGAGAAAGAAAGCAGTGCAAGCCTAGAGAGGATAGAGAGCTCCAGAGATGCATATTAGACAAGCAGAAAAACTTACAACTTGAAAAAATAAAGCACATTATTGCGAGAGCTGAAATAGAGAGAACACTGAAAGGATCAGGAGCATGAAAAAGAAATTGAGAGGGGAAACCGAAGATCAAGACTTGAAATTAGACTTCTAGGTTATAAGGGTATAAAAAGAGAAGAAAAATGCTTGACACTGAGATGGTGGAAGGAGGAAGAAGGGCAGAACGACTTGATTCAATTTTCACTTCAGAGGAGTCAGGAAGAGTATCCAGAGTTTATTTGTAGAAGCAGCCATATAGTGGCAGTGGGGTCTTCATATCTCATGTTGGATGATGGGGCACTGGGCAGCCTGCTATGGTTGGTGATAACCAGCCCATGGCGAGGGTTGGGGCTGGCTGGTCTTTAAGTTCCCTTCCAACCCAAGAATCTGTGATTCTAAACAGTCACTAAAGCTCTAGAGAATATGCAGATATAATAAACTATACAGCCTTTACGCTGAAGTACAGTGGGTACTTTCAGAGTTTTATAGTATGTGTTTAAGTCACACCTTCACCTCAAGATCTTCTAAATTCTATGAGCTATTAGCAGCTGGAAATGAAAAATACAGAACAAACTTGCAGGAAAAATATTGCAATTCCTATACAAGCTTGTAAATACTGGTATTGTAGACTGCAGGTGGGTGCATGTGTTTTATAATTCCAGAAAGTGACAGGTAGGGGAGCTCTTATAAATTTATTATTATGCAGTAAAGCACACCAAATGTAAGAAAATATGCTTAGTTTAGTGTAGGAAAAAGGAGAACAAAAAATTATTTTAGAACCTGTCCTCTTTTGTAGAAATTGGGCTGGAATTTAACAATATATGTCAAGTGAGGCAATTGTTTTGTTCTAAAGTAAAATTCCAGGGAGTACCTTTTACATTTACACATGAATGGTGAGCCATCATCTTAAGCTGACCACGAATTTCTAATTTTCTCTCCACAAAATCTTTCTTTTCTTACTTCTGCAATGACCTGCACACACATACTAAGACTTCTAACGTAAACAATACCTTCAACTTGTTCATCTTCCTCTAATTTATTACACACAGAGTGTGCTATAAATGAAGGCAAAAAGGGGGAAGTAGAGGAAAAAGTAAAAAAATGCATTTGGGAGGAAATGTTAGAAGCTGGGACCAGGGTTGGAGGAGGAGAGCACATTGTTAGGAGACAAAAATTGCTCATATGTGGAGAAGTGGAGCTGGAGTGGACCAGACAACTCACCAGGATGGGAGCAGAGAAAATTCCAGCTCCAGTCTGAGCTGTCAAAAGGACATCACATTTATTCTGAAAGCAAGGAACAGTGAGAAAAGAATTTAAGCTACTGTTAATAACGACATCCTGTTTATCTGTAACAATAGTAACGATGGGACTTTGAGCTCTGCGTCATCCCTTACTACTGCTTTTGATTACCTTAAAACAGAGAATGCCAAAGGAGCACCGCCACTGTCGGCACCTGCCCCAAATCAGGGCTGCAGATCTTTCCCGCATCTCGCTGAGATTGAGAGCTTCTGTCCTTGAAATGTTAAACTCATTATCTGGAAGGTGTGGACAGTCTCATGTCTCACAGTGTCCAGAAGAAATCTGACAGAAGTATGTCATAGGGTGGGGTGTGTTGGGGGGGGGAACTCCTGAGAAATGTTGAGCGCGTGTGTATTTTTGGCAGAAGGTACTGGCCAGACTTGTCAGCTGATAGCATCCATAGAGCTGGAAGACTGAAAATGAACTGCATTGCAACAAACAGAGATTTCACCACTGAAACAGCACACTGACATTTATATTAGCTCTGTTTGACATGACCTGATGGGCTCAGCTGGGCTGAAGCCATGCCCATGCAGCATCCACCCGCTTCCCCCTTCCCCAGCCCTTTGCCATATGCCCTTCTCTCTGTCCTGGGAAGAAAGGAGATCCTACCCATCCCAATGCTGTTAGCTGCAGGAAAGGCAGCTCCTTGGCCAATGACACAAAGCCAAAAGTGGAAAGCTGAAGAAGTAAGAAATGCTGTCGTATGCATAGACAGTGCTCTTATGCTTCCCTGATTGTGGGGAGCCTGACAAGCTCAAGAAGAAACTTGGTGGGGTCAGGAGAGTTTCCCCTCCTCCAGGCTATGCTGTGCCTTGATACCAAACTGGGGCGACCTCAGTGAAGTTACCTGATTTACCTGGAGGTGATAGGGAGAGAATCGTCTCCAATAAATTGTATCAATTTAATGGGGATCATATATGAGAGAAAGGGAAGTCCAAGCCCTCAGTCCCCGGGGCTACTTTGGGGGCTGACTGTCAAGGTGTGTTTTTTATTGTGTGTACCACTTGTCTGATGATAGGAACTAAATTGAGAAGAGGCTCATTTCTCACAGGCCACTGAGCAACCAGAATGTGCTAACTGTCATACGTAGGAAGCACTCAGGTGTCGGGATTGTCAAGAGAGAAAGTGCAGCGCTTTTTATTAACTGCAAGAGCAATCAGCTCTGTCTGGGTCTGCTCAGTCTTGTGGAAACACATAGTTCACACTGGGCAGTGCTCAGAGGCTTAACACAGGTATCAACACTGAGACTCCGGTAATAACTTCACATTAGAGCTGATGCATTATGGACTGTTGTATAGTCACAATTACACTGGTGGTACCTCGCAGCCTGATCTCCAACTTAAAGGCATTTCTTAAGTCTGAACAGGTCCAATACTGCATGATTCAGTAGTGTATTTAAATGCTATTTTGTCTTGCATTGTTGATAGAAAGGGTGACAAGATCCTTGTTGGCTGTCTTAGTGCCCTGCATGGAGGATGGGTGTGCTGGACCAGGCTCAGAACCCAGCAAATATTCAAATATAGTGCTTGATCTAGCAGCCAGCATCTCTACCTGCGGCAGGAGGGTTGGAACTAGATGATCTTTGAGCTCCCTTCCAACCCAAGCTGGTCTACAATTCTTGGTTTCTACAACATGTCTACTGCAAGGCAATATCCTCATGGTGCATGGTAGAAAAACACTAAAAAGAAAG